TCAAAGACAGGCACTTTCTTGAAATTCCTTCTCATAGCCAGGTGGGATTTTAGTAAACACTGGTTGAGCTCCATGGATGATGTTACTATAGTCCTGGGACAAACAATCTCTTTTGGACCTCAGACCTCAACGTTTACAGACATAGCACTTGATTATAGTGTTTTATGTATCTCGCTAGAAAGTTTTTCCCACGCCAAGCAGGATCATTCTGGAGAGTTCTATCAGGAAGGCAGAGCTCTGCCTTTGTCTAAGTGGAGTAGCCTCTTGCCATCAGTGGTCTGATGAATAGAAGTAATGAGGGCAGCTTACCTACCCGTGCGAAATACCTTCTCCTTTTTTAATCATGGTAAGAGGCAGGGATCAGCCTCCGTGGTGATGTGGGGATTTCTGAAGTGTTTGCAGATAAAAAAAAAAAAAAAAAAATATATATATATATATAAAATGCAGAGTCTGAGAAACTTGCAAGGTCTTTCCAAATATAATCCAGACACCAGTAGAAAAACTCAGCATGTACATCTGTCCAGCATTTCTTAACCAAAACAGGCCACTAGTGAGGATCTCTGTTCTAAGGAGTTAACGGCATTAGCGTGATCACATAATTTACTGGAGGAAAGACCAAAATACAATGTGTTTGTATCACAAAGTATAGCAGTGGCATACTGTATGAGGACAAAGAACTTTTCATAATGGCCTCAGAATGGTGTTGACAGTGAAATGCTCAGCCCAGAATTATTTATGTCAAATTAATTACACTTCCCTTATCTTTTTCTTTCTATTGAAATAAAAATGATAATAAATGAGCAACACTACTTGGCAAGATATATATCAGCTTTTTATCTGAAATACCCAACTCAATGACTATCAATTGTATTATACACTATGCATGAAAACACTCCAACCATTTAGAATCATGCAAAATTATTTTTATTTCAATGTCAAATTCCAAAGAAAACACTCAGAAATTGCTACGCACATTTGCATTTATGGCTCTTATTATTATTAGGATGTGGTTTTGAACCCAACTTCCAATGAGTCATGTGCTCTTGCCAACAGTATTTTCAGGGAAAAGTTTACTTGTGGCTGCATCACATTGGATCATTTTAGGGGGAATGCAAGTCTTTATAAAATGGAACCTGTTTATTGTCAAGGAGTCCAAAGGTACATGAACTATTGGGTTAATATTTATATCTTAATAGTACATGGTTTCTCCTCAATTTCCATTTCTGTGGGAACCCACCACCAATTCAACCTAAGAAAAAGATGATCTATTGTCTAATAATTTCTAAAACGGAATGGAAACAAAGATTGCAGGACACTAATAATTGAAGCAGCCAACAAAGATTTGAGAGCCATCAAATGCTCTGGGACTTGCTACATTGTTGATAAGAGCAACAGGATAAAGAGATTTAAGAAAGAAAGCATGTTTTAAACATGGAAGAATAATGTTTAAGGAATTGCTAATTTGTTTCCCTCTAGAAATCTTCAGTAGTACATGGTTCTCTGGGGAAGTCTAATCAATTAAAACCCAACATGCTATTCCATTTGTGAGTGGCATGAGAAATACATTTCTCATGTTATTACATAAATGAATCTCATCTTCAGGGCTTTGAAATATAACTTCATCCAGACTACAGTGAATTTGTATGCCATCTCATCTGTCTGCATTACAGTGAAATTGATTTTATGATTCCTTACCCATAAATTACAGGCCCGAGGCAGTAACAGACTTGGAGATGCCTTTGCTTTGTCTTCCCTACTCTCACAGGCTGGGCGTGTCACCTGCTTTTTTTCTGAACCACATCTAGCTCTTCACGCTTTGCAATTCTGGTTATAGTTCTCAACCTAAAAAAATGTGTTTTGAAAAACAGTGGTCTGTTAGACCCAGGATGTGTTCTTGGCTTGTTTGGATTCTCTAACCTGAATATTATCCCTGAAGCCCTTGGCACATTATTGGAATTAAACATTTTGTTAAGAACTAATAGAATGATCACCATGCGAATGAATGCACCTAACAACATGAGTACCATCAGGAAACAGCTACAGACGTCAACGGATGTCTTCCTTCTTTCCCTGCCCTCACCTCCTCAAATGAGAGCAAAGTAACCATGGTAGTGCTTGAGTTTCTGGCCGTCCTACTGGGTCCTCCTTTCATGTCAGGACTTGGTTAGTCATCAAGAGTCAAGAGAATTTGGGGCACCCGGGTGGCTCAGTAGGTTGACATCTGATTCTTGATACCGGCTCAGGTCATGATCTCAGGGTTGTGGGACTGAGCCCTGCGTTGGGCTCTGCGCTCAGCGCGGAGTCTACTTGTCCCTCTCCTTCCGCTCCTCCCCCACTCATGCTCGCTTGCTCTCTCAAATAAATAAAATCTTAAAAAGTCAGAATTATTACCTAAATGCCGCCTCCTCCACCCTTTTAAAAAGAAAATTTCTATTGGTTGATATACTGACTAGTCTAATTAGAGTGAAGAGTAAGATCAAAATATAAAACTACAAAACATGCTGAATTTCTTTTAATTCCTCAGACTCACCCTTGGGAGACCAGGTAATTCCTTGAGGCTACCTCCAGATGACTGAGGGTAGGAAGGGAAACATGTCGGGTCTCTTCATTTTGCTCCCTGGCAGGTATGACCCTTAGGTTGTCCTGCCCTGTAGCCTTACCTCAGCCTTAAATTTCAGGAGTGGGAGTTATGAAATGAGAACCAGTGGAGGTTTAGACATTTCATCCCTCTCCCATCTCTAGCCTGTGGCTTCTGAATTCACCTCTCCCGTCTTTGTCAACCCAGCTGGTTCTCAACCGGATATGCAGCCATCTTGTGCCCCAAAAAAGAATGGTGGTCAAGGAAGCATTGAGTTAAAGCAAGGAGAAATGTTTGGTTCTACAAATATTTTACTAAACCAAATTTTATGCCTAGTGTTCAGGTCATTTTTGAAGCCTACTTAAATCTTTTGGTTTTAAGATTTCAGTTGACTTTTTGCCTTCTATGTAATAGTTCTAGAAAGAGATCATTTAAATCAGAACAGTTTATTACTATTCACCAACTGAGAAAATATGGGCCCCAAAGCACAATCGTTTGGGCTGGTGCTTTATACCAATCTCAGAATGAAGAAGGTGAAACAAAACAGTTACCTGTGATAAACGTAACAGGACAGAGAACCGTGTTCCATTTCTCGCTGACCTGACTTTATGGTTACGACTTCTCACAATATCCAGCATACCTCTAGTTCCAAGTAAGAATGTAATTCAGTCAAGACTTGAGTTTTAGTTCCCTTTAGGTGATCTCCAACACCAGTAAACCCTTGAACAACATGGGCTTAAAACAGCACACATCCACTTACAAATCTTTTGGCTGTAGTATTGAAAATATACTTTCTCTTCCTTATGATTTTCTTAGTAACATTTACTTTTCTCTAGCTTACTTTATATACTGAATACAGTATATAATACACATAACATAGAAAATATCTGTTGACAATTTTTGTGACATTATATGCAGATTTTTTTACTTCATGATCGGGGGTGGGGGGGTCGGGGGCGGGGATCAGCATACCTAACACCCTGGCATTGTTCAAGGGTTAACACTACTTCTTTCTGCCTTTGCTCTCACAACACTTGGGTACTAACAGCATTCACCAGTGGGGGCTGGAATTCACCAGAGTTCCTTCACCTGTGACTGTGACCTCTTGAGGACAGAAATTGCTTGTTTCTAGCACCTTAAAACCTGGCTCATCCCAAGTTCTCAGTAGGTTATTTGTTGAATAACCAAATTATTGTTTGTGACAGCATATTTTTGACATGTTCAGAGATGCTACTCTAACACAGAAAAATCTCTGATGCACACAACAAACCATAAGCGGTGAGTGTACACGAAACAGGCTTTGATGGATCTCCCTGAATGGCAGTCAGGTATAGATCAAGTAAAATTAAAAGCCAGTCTCTCCTAAGAGCTAGGCCCATGAGCAACAACTTTCCTAACCGGCTTAAGACCAACTAAAACCGATTCCACTTCTTCCATCCATGGATCCTTCGGCATCAAACTGTCATGCAGTGCTTCTGCTGGCTCATTTTTTGTTTGCTTTGAGATGTAACTTTTGAGAGTTACTCTCCCAAAATTTTGACTTTAACAATTTTATGTCAGTTCTTTAAATTCCCTTGAGATAACAAGTTTTCCAGATGAAACACTGCAAATTTCTTAATGAATAGCAGTCTCAACCAGGTTTTTGGACTAGGGATCTGATTATACATCCCTAAAATGCAGTTTTTCTTTTATAGCAGCTCAAGGCAAGAAGGGTAATTTCAACTCAATGTCTAAACCTACCTCCCTACATCCTTTCAACCTGTTCTCTTTTAAGTCCTTCTAAAACTATTTTGAATAACAGTGGCTGAAAGATCCTGGGTAGGTGGGATTAATAATTACGCTTTTTCTCTCCCTGACTGCGCTATGTATTATGTGTTTCTTTCAGTTTCCAATCAGGGCACTTTGGCAAATATTCAAATGAATGGAATAAGCCTAGAGTCTAATTGTCTTTACGGGCCAGTTAAAGAAAACAGTTTTTATATGCGTTACAGATATGTTAAGAAATAATGCTTATAATGAATTGTTTTTCTAAGACTTGTATAAACATTCCTTCCTTTAAGGATGTGGTTATTAAGGAGTGGGGTGTAGGGTATATAATGAGGCTCACTCAGGGGGATTTTTCAAGCTATACATTCCCCTGCCACAAATGTTCTGATTCTGTTCCTTCTTGTTCTCTCCCTGGAATCAATGCTATAGTGACCCATGAACTGTTGTGTGTCATATTTTTTTTTTTTTTAAGTGAGCTGTATACACAATGTGGGGGCTTGAACTCACGACCTTTAGATCAAGAGTCTCATGCTCCACCCACGGAGCCAGCCAGGCACCCCAATGTGTACCATACCCTGCTGTGTATGAATTACTGTTTTAGGCTTATCAGTGAATAAAATGTTTTCAATTAGAATTCTATAAAAATATAAGACACTTTGCTTAAATTACATTATTTATTTTTGGATTATCCCTCTTAGTCCTGCATGCATCATTAGCACAAAAAGTTGAACTTAATCACAACCTCCTTTTGAAGAAATAGTAGGTACACAATCACCATCTGAAGAGTTTTTCTTCACAGACGGCCCAAGAACTCCGGCCTTGGTAATACTGTCAGTAACCTACACAATGTTCAATAGAAAAATTTACCAAATATCCTTTGTTTAATGTAAACAAGGCAGGAGGCCAGAGTATTATAGTAACACTATTTTACAGGGCCCAGAAATATGATTATCTATCATGTTTTAACATATCAAGTGTCACAATGACATGCATATTTTGATTAATTATACAACCCAAAATATAAGTGCCATATAATTTGTGGTTTTAGCACTTGACTGCAACTTCTGTCAATACCTGTGAACTTCATAATTAAAAGGGAATTGTATATTAATGTGATAATTTATGGAAATATGTCACCATGAATTATGAAGTAATTCCATAATTTGTGCCCCGTAAAATTAAGTGTAACAATCTTTACACTAGCAACAGTGTAAGCAAGCCAAGGATTTTGGTCCTTTTGTGTGTGTGTGTGTATGTGTGTGTATACACACACATACACACACACACACACATATATACACATGTACACACACATAATAATGTACAATTAAACCAAAGGGCTATGAATCCTCTCATAGCTTCCATATTGCACAGATAGATACATTATGAGAACATTACATAGTTAGAATGTGACTAATACAATGATAATTGGCTGAGGACAAATCTGAGTTCTAGCAAGTGAAGAATGTGGCTCATTACTAAAAATAAAGTCAAAGACTATACTGTTAGAAAGTTAAAAACAATGTGCATACCTATTTATACTGATGTGAAGCCGGGCTAACATTCATCTTGGAACTTGCTATGGCAATCGGTTGTTAAGGTGCTACTTTCCACCCAACACAGTGCATTTGAGTCACTGTTTTGCAAGTACTGAGTAACAGAAATATTCAGCTTTCACAAGACAGTACGACATAGACTAGTAGCACATTGTTTCACTGACAAATCCAACTCACTGTGAGAACTTGTGCTGGCTCTAGGTCTGTCTGAACTAAACAGGAAGAAGAAAGAAAGAGAAGCTCAGAAGAGAAACAACTTAGATCTTAAGCTTTAGCTGACTACAGATCAAAATCATTACAATAACTTAGGAAAATTAAGAAGCAGCATACACACACACACAAATATAAAAGTTAAAGCTTTTCTGAGCTTGGTGTCATGTATTAGCTGTAAGGTCCCATTGCGAAATCAAGGATAAAATAGTATTTGGCTTGAGAGGTAATTGCTAATACACCCATTGAGCACTGCGCAAACATTAAGAAGTATCTACTATCTCTTAATGCCTTATTTTAAATAAACCTACATCAAAGTAACTGACTACAGCCATGTCTAAAAATGGAAATGTTGCAGTGTTTCTCGCGTGGGCTGGTCAATAAATACAGAGCACTGAACAATGCTTTCCCGTCATTAAAAATCATTTGAAGAAAATCACGCACAAAGTAACCATCTCCCACTTTTGTTTTTTTCCTTGTTGCGCTTAATAAATGTGCTTAGACTGAGCTAACAAAGATTTGCATTAAACTAGAAAGGTAGTCTTAACATTGATAAGCATTCTAGAGCCAAGAATATTCATAATCTTTTGCTATTTTGTTCTTAATAAATAGCCAAAACTAACTATAAATCAGAAAAATACAACAAAATTAGCAGAAGGTGTAAAATGCGCTTCTATGCACATGCCACATGATGTACATACACAAACACGCTACATAAAACAACTTCTTACAAGGAGCAGCGACGCCTCCTTCCAAGCTGGAAATTTTGATAGTCCGCTCCCGGCAAATTTCAGCAAATGGAGAGATAAAGCACAAAGCGCTGCTGCTTAACATTTCAACGGGAAGAGGAGGAGGAGGAGGAGAGGAAGAAGAAAGCTTAAAAGCAACATCTGAGTGACAAGCATCACTCAAAGGAGGAGTAGAAAGTGGATCAGCAAACAGCATTCTGTAAATCTAGGAGAAGCACGCCGTGCACAGCACAGCTCCGCTGAACTACCACACAGTCCTTCATATAGACCCAATTGACCCAAAATTCCTTAACACGTAAACAGGACAGACTGGTTTTCCTTTTAAATCTTAGAATCATTTAAAACAAAAGACTGAACAAAATGGAAAAAAAAACAAAAACCAAAAAACAAACAACTGTAAACACTGAGGAGGCCCACTGGCATTTTGATTGCTGCCAAAGGGTTATCCGTTCCCGCCTAGACACTACCATGCATTTCAGTAAGAAATCAAATTATAAAGCAATTTTTATAAAGCAACTTTCAGAGAGGGACAGAAGGAAAAAAAAAAAGGTTCGCAACCCAATATATTTTCATTAGCTTAAAAAAATACTATTTCAGCAAACATTACCAATGGTGAGCACAAATTCAACATTGTTGCAAAAATGACAGTTTAAATATACTGGGACCCATACGTGAAAATCAATCACTAACATGGCTATGTGCACCAAGAGTAAAAGAACGTTTTTTTAAAAAATATATATTAATCAAGAACTTCTTTATCATATTAAATTGTTATTCTTAGAAAAGCTGAAGAAAGTTAATGGTGCTCTACACATTTTTATCTCCTATTAACTCATTTGATGGTTTCTGAATTGTATTTTTTCTCATTTACAGTTTTTTTCCATATTTTGTTTGATAAGAATTCTGACCTTAAAAAGTTATAAAATTAGTTCGTTTTTTTTTCTTTGCTACTTATTAATCCAAAAGAATATAAGCATTTGAGTCCCAGAGAATGTCAAAATGCCTTGCTACCTAAAAGGATATTAAAATAACAGAAATATCATCAAAGTCATGACATCAGAAATTTTGCAGCTTTTCACACAGGCATTAGAAATGCTTCTTTCCTGAAGTTCCTTTGATTGTATCCTGGATTCAAGGACGTGCAATCTTACATATAGAACCATTACGGTAAAGCCAATGAAAACAACATCATACATTTTACTGAGAATGTCCACTCAATGGGTTCTTAATGGTTCTGTCCAGTTTACAGCAGTACTTCATTTAAAAAGGCTTTTTATCCTCTCGGCTGGGTGAAGCTGAGTCTTTTTTGATGAAATGTACACTACAGTTCTGCTCCCTTAGCTCCTTGGAGGACGCTATTACGGTGTGGAGGAAGCATGGTATTTCACAAATGCAATTGCCGCCAGTTCCTTACAGAACTCTTCCAACACGATCACACCCTCTAGCAAAGTGATGTGGTCAATGCTGGTAAAAGGAAAGCAAACAGTAAGTCAATTCAAGATACTACCATTTCATCAAGCTTTGGTGACTTGTTTAGATCAAAAACATGTAAAACACTGGCTTACATAGGGCCTTCAGGTTCCAAGCCAAGCAATCGCTTTCTGACTAACAGAAGCTTGGGAGTAAAGTCTGGAATACGCTGAATTCGCACCATCAGGTCTCCGACAACCTGCATCAGAGACAAAAGGAACTGCGTTCCTGAAACCAACTACACAGGGATTTCCAGGATTAAAAAAAGACACTCAACTTCCTATTACTAAATGAAGAATGTCACCCTTCACTATTCACATTAACGATTTTGGCAAAGGCCTCACACCTGTTCCTTAAAATATAAATGTTACCATTTAAAAGAATGGATTTTTCTTTTTTTCTCCACATGCTAGAGTAAAATAACGACTTCTTGACAGTACACAAGTAGTATTTCCCATTATGTGACTCTAAGCACATACAATGGTTAAGGAACGTTAATGGACATGTGTATCACAGGTTTCATCAATCCGAGAGAACATAAACAGAACTAAGAACTCACCCTGACGATGACAGAGAAGAGGGATCTACAGCCAGAAGCAAGGTTTACATAAGGATCCAAAAGGTACTCGTGTACGTGTGGATGAGGGAAGAGGGAAAGTCTAGATAACACGGAGGTGACTTGTAAATTTACATCATATGGCTATGAAGAGGTAGAAAACAAAAAGACATTTGACATTATTTATAATGTATATACCTGAGCACTTCATTTACCATTTCAATGTGTCTTTTCAGGAAAGGAAAATATTCCGTCTTATTCCTCCCTCCACACGCTCTTCTACAACGAAAACATTGATAACTAACTTGGCTCTCACCGTCTTAGTCAAAGTACATATATCACAGTGCTAAAACTCAGGAGGGAAAAAAAGCGTGCATATAGACATGTGAAAAATACAAATATGTAACACAGTCATAATGCTTCTGTTTTACGCACGTTGTTCTAAGTAATGAGTGCTCAAGAGGTCATCAAAACTCACTGAAGTGTCATATGTAACATTAATAACAGCAACATAGGACACACTGAATAGAAGACCAAAGATAGAAAGGGAACTATTAAGATCTTTCAAAATACAGTAGTCTAATTTTAGAAACGATATTTTTCATCTTTTAGATTATTCAACTACTGCCAATTATCAGGAGCATGTATACAATAAAATAAAGTCAGATACACCAGAGAACCTTCTCAGCAGAAGGAGAGTACCTGGGGATAGAAATGACCACCACATGCCTCACAGTGAATGAAGAGGTTCAAAATGGTGATTACAACAGACAAGCATCATTTCATTTACACAAGAGCATTAACGCTCCCAAAACACTTATACATCTGGGTACAATTCCTCACACATCTTTTTGCATGTTGTATCACATTTTACTTGAATTCTAGTTTTTTTATTTTTAATCTGTTTACTCCACATAGAAAACAGCTTGGAGGGGCGCCTGGGTGGCTCAGCCAGTTAAGCGTCTGCCTTCGGCTCAGGTCATGATCCCAGGGTCCTGGGATGGAGCCCCGCATCGGGCTCCCTGCTCGGCGGGAAGCCTGCTTCTCCCTCTGCCTGCCACTTCCCCTGCTTGTGCTCTCTCTCTCTGTCAAATAAATAAATAAAATATTTAAAAAAAAAAAACAGCTTGGAGATGCTTTACAGACTATATCAAAATCAAAGCAAAAGGCACACTGTACAAAAACAGTTGCTGTCATCATGCCTAGAACTTTCAACAGAAATCTCATTCCTTCCAGCTTTCTTCTAAGCAGCCAAAGGAAACCGAGTGGCTGCGACAAAACTGACTTCTGTGGGAGGGCTGGAGGCGAGTGAGTAACCCGCGCTGAGGCTGGGGAAGAGAAAAGGGATTCGGGACGAGTGAATGTTAACTACAGACTCTGCCTGCTTCACTCCATTCACTGAGCAACTGCTAAACCCTTGATATATGGGGCGCCTGGGTGGCTCAGTCGGTTTGAGGGTCTGCCTTTGGCTCAGGTCATGATCCCGGGGTCCTGGGATGGAGCCCCGAGTCGGGCTCCCTGCTCAGCGAGAAGTCTGCTTGCCCCTCTACCCTGCTCATGCTCTCTCTCTCTCGCTTTATCTCAAATAAATGAAGAAAATCTTTAAAAAAATAAAAATAAACCCTTGATACAATGAACACCAATTAAGAAGTGAACACTGGCATTTGGAAGACAACAAATGCTAGGGCATGTGCCAAAAAAGAGCGAAAGTCCTGTGACATGGAGAAACCACAAGTCCTGTGTTAGAAGTCCAACTGTAGCGGGTTGGTTTGTTTTTTGTTTTGTTTTTTTTTTACCATGAGATTTGTGAACATGGATTTTCTGAACGAAGAAAAACGATCCCTAAGTCACTCTTATTCACAATCAAGCCTCAAGCAAGACAAATGAAAGGAGATACTATTCCTATGGAAGGGTAATTTGAAGAGCATATTCTCCAGCTTGACAATATATGCAACAGAATATAGCCTCCAGGACTCACTTCATAACAAACAATGAATTCACATGAAGTTGTATTTTAGGCACAGAGGAAACATTTTTAAAAATCTTTAAGAAGAATGCATTTGGTAAAGCATGTGAACAAAATCACTTAAAATACAACTTTAGTACAGTTTTGTATGTGACTTGATTTCTGGTAGTTCAGATTTTTAGGTCACTAAATTCTGCCATTTATAGGAGCTTCAACAAGTCAAGAGAATTTGGCTTTCAGCAGGGATATAAGTTGCCCCCTAAACTTTTTATTTTCCTTACAGGGTGTTACTTCGGTTTTTAGCTTTATGTGAACAAGAATCTATGTTCTTGGTTGTTTAAGAAGTTTAAGGCTGACTCAGATTATATTTTAATGTGAAAATGAAAACAAATCTCAGCTACACAGAAATTGTTCTCTCTCTGAAATGGTCTCTACTTCATAATGGTAATAACTTTAAAACAAGTTGGCCTTTTTTCTTTAATATGAATAACCCTTTCCTGGGTTAACAGTAAGTGCTTATATCTATTATTTTGGATGTATTTTCTACTTTTACATACAGTATTCACCTGAAACGAAAGCTAACCAGATTTTTCTGACATATCAAATGGACTTGGCCCATCTTCGAGCTCACACTAAATTTAAGGCCTGAATTTTAGGGCAATAAATTTTGACTTAAAAGCATACTAATGACCAAAAAAACAAAAAAAAACAAAAAAAAAAACACCCCAAAACAAGACAAAACAAAAAACATACATACTGCGTCACCAGAAAACTCAGTCTCAACCCTTCTCCTAAAAGGCTAAATTTACAGATAGCCAAAATCATATGATTTAGTCAAAATTACAGTATGATAGCCTCTGAAATTTCTAAAAACTCCTGTACTTAACAAGATTTTGTACTTTTTAAAGTATTTTAAATTGTTTTCTTCATTTTAATTCTCACAAGCAAATCTATGTAGGAGGTTACAGCAAGTAACATCAGCTTCACCTTAACAAGAAGAAAATGTGACAAGGGGCACAGCTGCCCAAGATCACACTCTCCCCTGTTGGGGCAGAGAGAAGCTGGACCTACCTCCCTACATTTTTCATGGTGTTCTTTACATTCTGCCTATGGACCTCAGCATTTTACTATCTTCATAAAATCATCACAAATAATACTAAATGTTTGTGTTATAAGGTATTTTTGAAAAATTAACATTGTGACAACATGACAGTATTATGAATAATTTCTCATTTATAATAATGTATATAATATATAATACATATAATTATATATTATATATAATAATTTCATAATTTCTCAATTATACATGCAGGAAACTAGCTACTTCACTAAATTATATGTAGTAAATGTTTAATCCCAGGCTGGTTACCCTGACGCTATCTCTATACTAAGAAAATACAGGCAAACATCCTCCTCACCAAAACACATTTAGAAAAGAGAGAAAATGAAACTAAACCAAGCACGCTTAGCACACCAGGACTCATGACTGTCTTTGAGATCTGACTACATGATGTTCTTACCAAAAAAGGCTTGGAAAATCAAGGGTTTTAAGACCAAAGGTTTGAGGCTGGGGCCTGTAGTGAACCAGCTGTACGTCGCATTAACTGCAACTAGGGATCCTCCCTGACAAAGTATGACCAGAAGTCAGTCTTGCCCAGCACTGAGCGTTACAGAAGAATGGTGGAGACAGCGTGCATGAATCAGCTCTGCCCTGTGACGTGCTAGCTGCTGAAATAAAAAGAACTTCAAAGCATTTCAGGATATTCTGCCTCCAAGTATCCTTTTATGTCAGCACTCCATAAACTAAAGGGAAAAATACCCGAGATCCAAATGAAGCTTAGCAAACCAGCACAAAGAACAAAATGAACTGATGAACCCCGCTACCCAGGGGGCTTCCACAGCCGAGAGGTATATGACGTGTATACGGCCTAATGCCTACAAGAGCTGGATTTACCAACCAACCAACCAAACACGCGAAATACAGCACTTGCTATTAAGAGGTTAAAAGAAAAAAGGACTTATTCTATATCTTTACTGATTACTATCAGAAACAGTACTGACTGAAGTCTAACCCCGTGAAATACTTCTTAAATTATAATTTCTTTATTTGGCTTTCTGGGAATTGAAGACAGCCTGCTTAGGGAGTAAATTTCTTTTACAACTCCCTATGCTCACATAAATATTTAACTAAAATGCTAAAAAAGAACAAGTACTTTAATATATAATTTTAAATTAATTCCGAATTGGTTAAGTCAAATTTCTCTGTTGAGGCAAGTATTATGCCAGGTGGTTGTATTTCAAGTGTATATCCCAGGGTGTAAAGCATTTCAAAGCTCTAGCCTCACTTTGTTCATGTGTCAAGGAGAGAGGGAGGGTGGGAGGGGTTCTGTAATCCCAAATTCATTTCTCCTGACAGCCAGACATACACACACAGCAACATACCAGCTGATGGTGCTTTTTGTCTACCTTGGAATAAGTAAATTTACCTTTTTCATTTCATCTCCCCCTTATGAAAATGAGTATCTTTCATAAGTTCTTTATCTGAAGAAGCAGATTCATCTAATATCGTTCTGTCATTTTAATGAGACCGGAGTGCTCAGGATTCAATTTGAAATGACATTTAAGGTCGTCTGAATTGAACTTTACAAGGTTGACTCAATTTGTATCTGTACGAACTCTACTAATAAAAGAAAAGGCTTTCTACGTCATGCAAGGAAAGCATTTTAATCACCTCCAAAATGTGTGAAGGTTATTAAGAGAACGGTCTATAATGAGAAGTAAAATATATGATTACGTAACAGCCATCAGGCAGAATAAAGGTTTCGAATATAATGAATGCATCAGAAACGCACCACTTGCTGGCAATCAAGCTTTACGAAAAAGTCATCTAGTGGAAAAACTAAGAAAACAAAACTACTTTATTAAAGATCTAAACTAAAACTAGACATTCACCCATTAACAAAATCATGTGAAAATTAGTATTTTAAAGCTTATTACCTGATCAAGAATTCTTCCCATTCTGTCAAATAAAACTTTCAAAAAATGACCTTCAAAGAAAGTAGCTTCTAAATTGCACTTTTCCAATGCTTTTGGAGATCCAGGCCACTCCCATCTTAAGCAGATAGTACAGTAGTCCCGGAACTAGGGAAAAGCATTTGCATCATTAAAGAACAAACCAGAACAAATCGAGCTCAAACAGAAATAATTTCCTCAAACAGGCATATAAGAGTGCACGTGAGTGCCGAGTGTCTGTTCCGTGGGAGGCGCCCGTGGGAGAGGAAAGGACTCAGGGAACAGGCTAAGGAGAAGCACAGGTAAGCTTAGGACCACCAGTGCCAACATATGTTGATGAAAACATAGGCATGTGTTTTCCTTTAGAGGAATTTAACTCTACTTACTTTTATCACAGATTCAGAGAAAATTTAAAAAGCAAAGTAAGCCCTAGCCACATTATCAAATCTATCTGAAAACATTACATGCAAATAGATGAACAGATGCATGTTGTCGGGCTGACTGCATTTAACTGAGCAGATTTTATGTCTGCTGAATCGAATAAAATAACCAGGGGCGGTATTTTTTTTTTCATCTTTCTAGTAATTCATTTTTATTATATTTTACCCAAGTGTAATCTGTCTGTGACAGACTGGAAATAATAAGAAACTGGTCCTTCACTACAGTTTACCACTGGGATAAACAACATGGGTTTTGATAAGCACAAGACCTCAGGTAATAAAAATAAATTTGAAACGTCTTCCCCAACACATAATTTACCTGAGTTTAAACAAAAGAAATTTGGAACAAAGTTTTCTTCCCCATTCTTTCCCTTTTCAGATTCCCCTTATTCAATAAGGCAACATTACTCTGACCTCTCTAGTTTGGAAATTACCTGAAATTAAATCATATTCTCACCATGAAGCACTAACTTCAACTTTTGAAAGAAAAACATTATTTAAAACAATCAGAAAGCCAGCTTCTTCAGTATTTTGTGAGTTTCAACCAATTTGGCTTTCAGTAGACAGTTTTCTATCCTAAACCACACCCCAATATTTAATAAAGCATTTTCCCATTAACATGTCTGAAATTCTTACCTAGAAATTAAACATTTTTTATCCTTGTCTGTCTTCTAATATTTCTGAAACAATCCACAATAACTGCATTTGTAGAGAATGGAAATGGAACTTTACAGAAAGAATAAACGCAGTTTAAAAATCCAGTTGATACTCCTGAAGTCTTGCCTTCACCCTCTCGTCCCTGAAGGCGCTAGCTACACAATTACTCTAGTCACTCCTGCAGTCATCTGGACTTGCGCATTCATGCTACAGGCACATGCAAATTAATTATACAGAACTGTACACTTCAGTCTCAAGGATTTAAATGAAAATTAAATGTGCATTTTTCTGACTTGAGACATTTTAAAATTAGGACTTCTGTAAAATGCTAGGGAGAGGAAAGAAGACCTTGAGAAGGCCATTTAGGTGACTACTTCAGAGCAGACCTTTCAGAGGGTCCTATCAGGGAGGTAGCAAGCTGCGGGGGCAGGCAGTAGGGAGCGCACGGAGGGAGGGAGCGAGGCACCCGTATGTAACTGCTCAGGTAAGAAAAGGGGTGGAGAAGGGGACAGGGCATTCCTGTAGACGAAGAGTAAGGGGGGGGTGGGTAGAATCATTTAGAAGTTATGTTTTGGATCAGCAGGGAAAAGGGTAGGGGGGTAGATAGAATTTAAAGTATAGAAAGAAAGGGAAGGAAGAGACAGAGAGGGACGGAGGGAGACAAGGGAAGGGGAGAGGTGGGGAGGGAGACACAGCGGAAGGAGGAAAAGGAAGGGGAGCAAGCATAAAGAAATCTTGAGACAGACAGCCAGCAAAAGGCAAAGTAAGGTCACTTGCCTGAAGTTAAAGTAACAAGAGGGAGTTCGGGTCTCGTTGAGGGAAACCTTCGGAGAAATGACTGTGGGCAATGGGACAATGTGTGTATGTGCACTCATTAGATTTCACTTCCAAAAATTAACTACTTCCCTTACCTGCCTGTGAGCATCTCGGAGGTAGGTGTCATATCCAGTGCCCTCGACATGGTAGGACGATTTTGCTTCATCGGGTACCAGACAGAGAAAACTTAAATGAGAAAGCCATAGTCAATAACAGAAATACTCCCACAATTCAGTATCTTTATACCTTAAACTATCAAATGATATCTTCAGTTTAGCCAAGTGTTGATGCAAATGGAAACTTGAAAAACAAAATGATACATTCTTAAGTACTTCATCTTGAATCAGTTTTACTGACTGATTACTCTTTCATATCTCAAAGGTTTTATTTAATAATCACTCTTTCCACTTAAAGTAGAAGTAAGCCTAGGGGCGCCTGGGTGGCTCAGTTGGTTAAGCAACTGCCTTCAGCTCCGGTCATGGTCCCAGGGTCCTGGGATCGAGCCCCGCATCGGGCTCCCTGCTCGGCGGGAAGCCTGCTTCTCCCTCTCCTACTCCCCCCGCTTGTGTTCCCTCTCTCGCTGTCTCTGTCAATTAAATAAATAAAATCTTTAAAAAAAAAAAAAAAAGAAGAAGTAAGCCTAAAATGATCTTTTACATTCCAGCACAATGACAGACTGCCATGATATCTGTTCTTGTCAGGAAACTGGCTTTTAAGTAATTGAAGATTTTTATACACCCTAATTTTGCATCTTGAGCCACATGCAATTTCTCTAAAGTCACCTGCCAGAACCAGGCACATCAGTGACAGTGCTGCAAAGGAAGAAACAGAACATCAAGGAAGAAAGAGAATATCGCCAGAGAAAGGGCACTTAAAAAAAAGAAAAAGAAAAAGAAAAAAGTAAAACCACAAGTATCAAAAGGGAATGGCCCCATGCTTAGCATACATGAGTACATGACTAAGAAGTGCAATTTGTCAAACTGGACATTCTCCGTGTTGTTCCAACTGAGAATGACTTAAAAATTTTTATGTTAAAAAAAGCAGGGCCATCTGAAGGTTCATCTAACCACTACTACCTATTTTTGTTTCTATGTTAAGTAGAGCTTTTCCCCTTTGCTATCGATTGTTGCCCCGAGGCTGTCACTTGCTATATAAACATGACAAAAAGCTGATATAATCTTTAGATTAAAGAAGGGAAGATTGAATTTACAATATATCTTTGTAACAATCTAAGAACAGAGCTGTTATGGGTTATAAAAACAAGCAAAAGAGATGTAAGTCAAATTTATATGGCAACTCACCTATTTACAATTTTATGGACTTCAGTTTTCCCATCATTTTTGGGGTGGTCTGGAGTAGCAGGGGGTGAAGAGCTAAGCCACTCCTGATTTGACAGAGTGTTATCCGGCGAAATGTCAGTAAATAATGGGTCTTCTTCCAGATCTCTACGTTTAATTGAATGATGTATAAAAAAGACAACATTTTACTACATTTTTCTAAACCAATGAGATTCTCTGTCATGTTCTTGGAAAACATTACATGGTTTTGCTAATAAAAGAATTAAAGAATTACATTTTATAGGGAAATTAACATTTTATACAAACATCAAACTCCAGAATATATTGATTTTGTTCCGTTTAAAGAATACCACTTGTGATTTAAAGGTATGGTGATATCATGGCATCTAAATTTTATTTTCAAAAATCTTGTAAACTGTTAGAGGCCTTTTTTTTTTTTTTTTTTTACAAATAAGGGACAGAAGTAGGAGGAGAGAGAAGATGACAGTTCTGTAGGAAATGCTAAGCTTGCAAGGCTGGGTGAGGACTTACACGGCTCCTGCTATCAATCCATTCTCCACCACATCTTTATCTTCTGGACACAGAGGCTTATACTCGGTATAATTTCTTTCTTCGAGATTTCTTAGGACCAAGTTGTAAAGAATGTGCTCGTTGGGTTTTTGTAAAAGATGTTCAAACATTCTTAACGTCATTATGCTTATCTGAAACCAAAATGATAAAGGCTAACTGAAAAACATCTCTGAATAAACGATTCTTCTTGCCATCCTGTAAGTCATGCTTTTGATTTTAAAGCCACATCAAGAAGCTATATTCAAAACATCACAAGTACATTAAAATTACGCTTCAAAGTCCCATTCTAAATCTTACACAGCTTACCTCATCAGATATGTGATCACAATGCTCTATTAACCTATGTCTTAAAGGGTGTCTGCTAACGTCTGCCAGAGTTTCCGGTTCCCTCTGTTCTCCAAGGATAAAAAACACCATTTCTTGAAGCAAAACATCAGAGGTTACTTGCCGAACAATGCGATGGAGCAGAGCAGTTGATGTTAGAATACCCATCTCAGAACTGGGCACAACAAACACGTCATTAGTGTGGAAAATGACATGAAATAGCAACTTTTTGTTTTTTAAGGGAAAAGGCCACTCACGTTTGCATCAGCTGAGGTTCCATAACTCCAATAAAAAACCTTTCGTGGACAGCTTTGGCAAGAGTAATAGCAGCGGTCTAGAATATGGAAAAAGCATCGCTATCTTTTTCTTTTTTTAACGGAAAAGAGAAATTAATTTGTAACATCAATAAGTCAGTTTGCATTCTCCATTTGAATTAATGTGGAAAAACAAACTTGCCTATTGAGACGGTCAATGGCATATAAACCTAGATTAGATGCTAGCTACTGGGTCCTTTACATTTTATCTAAATTTTCAGGAACAAGGTGAACAGGACAAAAATATTATCCCAATCCCCATAGAGTATTAACGTCTCCCCAAAGAGGAGAAATGGAGGGAGGCCAATGTCACCTTATGGAGCTTTCTGTTGTAATATTGTAAATACAATTTTCTATTGCAGAACTTGAACTGTGATTTCTTCCAGAGTTGTACTACACACACACACACACACACACACACACACACACACACACACACACACACACACACGTTTTCTTGTCTTATTTGGTTGTATTTATTTTACTGACTGTGCTATCCTAAGATAATTAAGACATATTCAGGGATATAAACTGACAAAATTTTACTTAATAGACATTTACATTTTAAAATTATCAATAAGTAACAAAAAAAATCAAACCTTTTGTGCTTCCTTTATAAGTTGATCACAATAATCAAACCAGGAAAGAAATGAAATTAAGGCTCGTTTTCCTGGGAATGCTGAAGCATCTTCTTTATGACTATATGAGTCCAAGCTGTAGGACGTAGAAGAAATGCTTAGTCCAAAGTAATCCCAAAGGGGTAATCCAATTCAGCGCACATGGAACAACGAAGGCCCGTGAATGAACTTACGCAGTAAGATACATGTATACAGGCAGTGCTGGATGACCACCAGAAGCAGGTTTTATAAAAGTAAGCCAAGGATTAGAGAAAACCTTTCAAATTACAGTTGTAAATAACTTGCACTCATTAAGTGGGAAGAGAGAAACTAACACAGAATGCAACTGCAGAGGAAAAACCACACAGACAGCTCCTGATGCTCCCATGGTAAATCTGACCAAGTGGCAGGAAGGAAGTGTGGGAGGTTCTCAGCTCCTGGGGTGGAAGAAAGGGTAAAGGAGGGTGTGCAAAAAGAAACAAGTGGCCTGCTTCTCTTCCTCCTTAAAACACCGGACAGCGGTAAAGTTAACCTGTGGCTCTGCCCTACCGATGTTGGCAGAATAGCGGGTGGAAAAAGACTAGTAAAAACCAAGGAAGAGTTAAAAATGCAGAGAAAAATTGTAACAGGTTATTATACTAAAACATTAGGCAGCTTATAGATGACAGGATTTGGGGTACTTTTCCTCATGCTGCTTATAAACTTATAAATGTTCTGCGATAATCACATTTTCCTATGAGAATCAGGGGACCCCCAAAAGATGGGTAGGAGGGGAGAGTCCATACACGCGGGCCACAAAACTGAGACTGCCAAGAGGCATATTTACAAAAGGATGCTCCCTCTCTCAGGAATAAAAAAAAAAAAAAAAATCAAAGTTATTGGTTTTAATGTAATTAAGGTCTTAATTATTCATTATAATGGAAAAATAGCTTAACTATGTAACAGCTGGATTGTTCCCATACCAGTTCACTCCTGACTGGCAACACATTTAAAACAAGCCTCAGAAAATAATCCCATTTAATGATCACAAGTAATGTCACATTTTCCAAAACTAAAGATTTGTATCCCTGCAAAATAGCAGCGAATTTACAGGTATAGGTGTTAAGAAGTCGCTTCTACGGGAAAACACAAGTAATGATTCTTACCCCCAGTTAATCGCTTCCACTGTTTCGATATCTAACGGATCCACGGACTGAGGTAGGGCCTTGTACAGGGAGGCGAGCCTGTCTGTCAGCAGTTCGCACAGGCACGTGCTCTGCGTGAGGCACCTGGCAGCCGCAGGCTCCGGCAAACTGACTAACAGCATCAAGCCCTCGCAGGCTTTCACAGCTATCCGGCCATCCTGAGGGAAAACACACAGACCCCTTCAATTCTTGAATTAGATGTATGTCAAGTTGTTTGGGAAAAATTCAACTGAAAAAGATGTAATGTTTTACACTAAAAGAACAGACTTTCTTTTTTTTTTTTTTCTATTTCAAATGCACGTAACTGTGATCAGGTAAGCGGGAAAGAGTAAGGAAGACTCACAGGACTTCTAGTGAGATTTAACAAGGAATTCACTAAGTTGTAATCCTGGTTTGGACGAACAACCGTGGCCTCAGGCAGTGGGCTGACGGCTAGGCTATCCAAGCTGGTGGACAGCTCATCCATCTGCTGAGGAGGCTCATCTTCTGTCTCTGTGTGCTCCAGCCCCACAGCACCAGACAGTTCCTCTGGCTGACAGAACTGGCCCGTGTCTGTTGACACGGAATCCTGACCTTTCAGTGAGTCTTCTGAAATTACATCTGGTGTGCCTTTGGAAGCCAATGACTTCAACTTATTCTGAAAAAGAACACATGTTCTGTAAGATTCGTATCAAAAGACTTATAAAACAGAAATCATATTTTTATCGGTTTTTCTATAACTCACGTTCAATGTCTAGCCAATGTGGCAATAGATAAAAAGTGTTATGACAAATGAAAACACTCAGACGTCAACAAGTTGTGTTTTAGATATTTTAAAATTGCCCAGGCATTTATAACACTCTTTACACTAAGTACAAAACGGTTTACCATGACCAAAAGCAGTGAACAGTATTAGTGATAACTATATGACTACTGCTAAAAACAACTGTTTTTAGTAACAACTGATGTTAGTGGGGAAAAAAGATTCAGGAGGTTTCAATTGGAATTAATCGTCTTCTCATCACTGGGCTACTTAAAATACAGAGCCTCGATGTTGATTCTTCTAAGATCAGTTTTCTAAGATGATTTTTGTGTTTCCCCTGTACCTCTGCTTTATAAAAAGAACTCAATACTCTCAGGACCTTTTTATTAGTGTTTTTTTTTTTTTTTTTTTTAGTGTTTTTGATGAGAAAAGATTTACTTGAAATGTCGGTCCCACCTCCCCAATACACACACACACAAACACAAAGAGAATCTTAACCGAAGCAGGGCGCCTGGGTGGCTCAGTTGGTTAAGTGTCTGCCTTCAGCTCAGATCATGATTCCAGGGTCCTGGGATCAAGTCCCACGTCAGGCTCCCTGCTCAGTGGGGAGTCTGCTTCTCCCTCTCCCACCCCCTGGCTCGTGTGTGCTCTCTCTCTCAAATAAATAAAGTCTTAAAAAAAAAAAAAAAAAGGAATTGTAACCAAAGCAAATCATTAGTTTCAGGGGAAGCGTTTTGCTTTCCATTTGAACCTAAGAGCAAAAATCAAATCACACACACAGGTTAGAAGTCTCCTCAGGGGCCTCTCACCGTGTTTCACCCATCACAGAGGTGCACTCAGTACTGAATGAATTCAGAGTTCTATTTCCAAAGTTATATTATAGTTATTATAAATCACTTTTATTACAGTTAAAGATATAGTTTGGACCAATCTTCTTGAGAAATTGAGCCCACAGCACATGTTAAAAGAAACAACTACTCCAAACAACTTCCCAATTTCCTATAAAATCAGTTGCATGTCACAGTCCTTATGAATGTGAGTATTGTTGGAAATGGTACCTCAGATAAGAATGGCAAAGGAAGAATAATCTTGGACTAGCATTCACTTCTCAGACGAGTGTTTCTCAAAGTGTGACTCAAGACCGTTGGCGTCACGGTCATCTGTGGGGCTTGAGAGAAATGCAGATTCCTGGGTCCCACCCAGACCTGAATGAGAATATCTGGAGGTAGAGCCAAGGAATCCACATTTTAACTTATTTACTTATATTACTGAGGTATAGTTGACAATGTTATACTGATTTCAGGTGTACAATGTCGTGATGGAATCCGCATTTTTAGCAAGCTCCCAGATGATGAGGAACTGTTGCCTTGTCTTACACTTTGGTTCTTACCAAAACTGTTCCCTTTCTACTTCAGGGGTTTTAACGATAGCCACAGCACATTTATACACATAACCCCCAAATCTCTTGAAGCCAGACTTCCCTCCCAAATCACAGATTTGCAAGATCAATGCCTGCCAATTATCTCCATTGGATACCAGGAGGACTCAAAACATCCAGAACTGTAACTACCATCTTCCCCTCAACATAAGCTCCCTCAGGGCTCCCTACTTTCTGTTAGCGACAACCTTCCTGGTTCAGAAACTCAAGCACTCATCATCCTTTCTCTTGCTTCCTGCACAAGACCACACAACACCTACCTCTGGCCTCTCTGGAATATATTTACTTCGTTCCACCTCACTGCCTCCAACTTACAGTCCTTGCCACTTCTCGTCGGGGTTACTCCCTCAGCTTCCAAGTTGGTTTCCTCTGCTTTTCTTTTTCCTTTCAAAGGAATCCACTGTACAAGATGCTGCCATCAATCTGACTTAAGGTACAGACACCATCATGTAGTAACATCCCTGCTCAAAAACCTTCGGTGGCTCCCCAGTGACTTCAACTATGTTCAGATTCTTCATCCTGCCATTCAAAGCCTTTGATCCTTCCTAGTCCATCTCTCCAGGCCCATTTCTTATCACATATCCTAATTTTATACTGTTTCATGAACACACCACAGACTTCTATATCTTCATTTCCTTACGTATGTTCACCCATTCTTATCTGAACATCTGTCAGGACTCAAATCAAAGGTAAACTCTTCCATGAAGTCTTTCCCAACAACCTAAGAGCAGATGTAATCCCTTCATCTGAGGAAGACTTAAGGCGTATTTACTTTGCATCCTTCTTAGGATACTCACCTTACTCCACCTCAGATTATAGCTTGAATATTAGTCTTACCCTTGTCACCAGACTATGAACTCCTTTAGGGCAAAGACTGTTCCTAACTCATTTACCATAGGCACTTAAACCATAGTAGATGCACAGAGTAGCTGCTTTACATGAAAAGAGAGATTAGAATTCAGGGGATATATGCCTGACAACTGCAAAGAACTTTTATTACTCTCTGTACTTAGAAGTAACATAGCTGCATTTCTCTGAAAATTCATTCAGCAAGTGCTAATTAAGCAGTTATTATACATTATACTGGATACTAGACAAGTTGTGGGAACCCAAAGATTAATGCAACAGAGTCCTTGTCCTCAAGGAGCTTACTGACCAGCAGGAGAAAATAAAATACATTTAAATAACTCTAACGACAGGAAGACTGTAACAACCACATTAAAAGCTTATGAATACTCTTGAGAAAACGGAGATGCCTACTACCTCAGGCTGTGGAGAAGTATGCGCTTTAAAACCGGGCATTCTTTGTAGTGAGGTCTAAATGGAACTGTCTCTGGGGAGACAGGAAAACAGAGGACACCTATCTCTCCATCAGCATATGTACGCCCATAAATTTTCTCTGCTTCTGATCGACGGCTGTGTCCTTCTGAACGAGTTTCAGGGATTCTGAGAAAAAGTCCTTAAAGCTCAAGCTGGGGCAAAAATCCAAGCATCAAAAGTAACTAGGGTATCTAAGAAAACTTTAAGTAACTAACGTGAACTTTGAGAGGAAAAATCTCAGACAGCCAGATTGAGATATTTGCTACATTTATATCCCAAAACCTAAAAAACCTGTAATAAACCCTTAGAATCTGAAATCAGAAGTGTATTTCAGCCATTTTGAAACAAACCTTCAAAATAGGACACCCACCATGAAAAACTGGCATTCGGCCTCTTTATCGCTACCTAAAAACTTAAATGCATGCACTTTTGCAGCTTGGCTGCTCACCTGTCTTCAGTAAGAGTGCAGAAGAGGATCTTGGGTGACTTAGTCAATAGAGTGAAGCGGCAAACAAACCCACCTACTAGAATGGCTAAAATTTTTAAAAACAAGACCCTGACAACGCTCACTCTGACAGGATGGGGAACAACAGGAGCTCTCACACGTCGCTGACAGGATGCAAAACGATAAGGGGTAAAACAGTTTGGCAGGTTCTTATGAAAATAAATACACGCTTGCCACAGGGTCCAGCAATCCTACTCTTCGGTGTTTACCCAAGTGAAGTGAAAACCTAAGTCCTCAGAAAAAAACCACGTGTGAATGTGCATAGTGGCTTTACCCATAATTGCCCAAACTGGAAACAACCCCACGTCCCTCGACGGGTGGATGAATAAACAACTGTGATACACCCACGCCACGGGATATTACTCAACAGTATCAGGGACCAAACTCATCTTTGAATCTCAAATGCATTATGCTAAGGAAAAAAAAAAAAAAGGCAGACGTGAAAGCTGATCACATTTGTGTGACTTTCTGTAAAAGAGGAAACCTACGACAGAACCACATCAGTGATGGCTGAGGATGGGGTGGAGGGAGAGGGGCTCCAAGGAAGCCGCGGGAGGCTGGCAGGCCTGCTGTGTCGCTTGAGGCTGGTGGTGGCTACATGACCGTGGGTTTGTTAAACTCAAGAGAACCACAGACCAAAAAGAGCAAATTGCACTGTACCTCACTTGTACCTAATCTAGGGAAAGAAAGACAAAAAGAAAAAGAAAACAAAAAGATTTTTAAAAAAACCTAGCAAAATTAATTTTTTCTGTTTTTTTCAAGATTTTATTTATTTGAGAGAGAGACAGCGTAAGTGGGCAAAGGAGAAGAGGAAGAGGGAGAAGCAGACTCCCCGCTGAGCAGGGAGCCCGATGAGGGATTCGATCCCAGGACCCTGGGATCATGACCTGAGCTAAAGGCAGACACTTAACCAACCGAGCCACCCAGGCGCCCCCCAAACTAATTTTTCTACTACATTCCTAAATGACTTCACTGCAGAAAAAAAGAAGTGAATGACAGAAGTACACGAAGTATTTTCTAATTTAAAACTGGGAGTAAAACCCAAAACATTGATTGATGGAATACGTAAAGTATGATCCACCGACTATGGCTAAGAAAAGACAGGGCGGAATACTAGAGCAACTGCCACTGCTATACCAGGCTGGAGAGGTCACTCGGGCTTGTGCGCATCCTGCCCCAATTCGCACACAGACCCCAGGCCAGATTACCCGTGCTCCACACTAGAGCAGACTTGGCTGATAACATGATAGTTTATAAGCTCCTGACTCACTCTCCCTGATTTTCCCCTTCAAGCTGCATCCCTGCTAAGCCTTGAGTCTGTATTTGTCCAGGCCCTGTACTGCCCTGTAGATCGGCTCAACTACTTTCTCTGAAGAGTGGCTTCCTCAAAAGATTTCAGGTTAAAACAAACACTGATCGTCAATGAAAAATAATTCTGGGAAGTGAAACAAGCCATCTGATACCCACAAAATGTAATTCCTTCTAATATTATTTACAGAATTCAATTCTCAAAATAATTGTAATATAAGCATGCTTCGAAGGTTGACAAGTACCATACCTCCAGAAAAAAATTAACCAAGTAGGGATTTTGTTTCAGCTTTGCACATACAATACAGAGAAACTGGATTTCTTCATTTTCCGTTGGTGTTGCAAGTACTTCACCACACAGTCGAATTAATTTCTGTTAAAAAATTTAAAAAAAATGTTTCAAACTTGGGTTACTTTTTACAGGTACGTAAATAGCCATCTGTTTGCCTTAAGAGTATTTACAATTTTCATATAATGCAAATACCTTGCATTCTGCAGACAGAACACTATTTACCATCACTTCCAACAAAAGAGATTTACTAGTAAGTTCTTCAAATATATCACCCTAGAAAATTCATAAGCACACAATAAACCCCTTGAGATGTCGAAGAGATAAGTTAAAGGAAAAACTAATGTATAAAACTTTAAGAGAAAAATAGAGCATATAATACAACGTGCTGCATACCAGAAGCTCAAGTATTTGCTAATTTACACGTTATTTTTGGAATAATTTCCTTTATTATTTTTCATCTTAGAACAATCACATTAAAGTATTTATACATGAAAAGAAACGGAACCCAATGCTGTTTGGAGAAGGAGAAGAAAATACCTGCACCGGCCTGTGGACGTTAATGTGCGGGAGCAGCGGCTGCTGGATCCTCCCCAAGAGTTTAGTGTAGAACACCAGCACCTGCTGCTTCATCCCTGGGGGACACTGGGCGCAAAGAACAGAAAAGCAAACAAGGGAGAACAGACGATACAAACATGCTTACTCAAAAAGCTTAAAGAATAGGAATGTGAACGTATTTCACCCTCAAAAGTCAATGCAACCAGCCAATTAATGAGTCTTTCAATATACAATTCTCCACCAAATATTAATGACTGGCATTCTAGAAATAAAATTACATCTGGGACTGTATAATACAGCCAATGGAACTGCAGGCCGATGTGATGACAGACAGCATGGTAACGACACGCTGTTGAAATCAGTTTGGTTTGGGCAACATCAACCTATTTGTATTCTAAATGCTAGGGTAACCCCGAACTATTATGGTTAACTCTATGGCTGTTTTGCATTAGTTGCAAAATTATTTACATTATGATTATTATAAACAATGAATATTTAAAAAGGAAGTTTTTATAACATGCCATGCTTTAAATCTTTGCTGAAAACTAGGTAAACCTGATGATTGCTTACGCTGTGGGTTAAGAGAGCACAAACTAACAAGGTTATGTGTTCTATCGCTAACCTGCTTATACTGTTTGCAATTAAAATACAGTCACAAAATGAGCATTTCCAAAGCATCCTCATAGACATGCTATCTGGAAATGGTATAAACGATAATCTCATGCACAGTATTTTTTCTAGATAGCAAATACTTTGCATTATTCAGATAGACCTGTAACATTTACAATCACTGATATAAAAATTAATTTGCCAGATGCTACAATTATTGACCTTCACTCAAAAATCAATTAATCTGTATTCAACTTAGTGTTGTACCATCCCTCTCTCCACACGATAGGGGAGCAGATATCCTGCCTCAAAAATATAAATTGCATGAATTTAACTTAAAATGAATTGGGAGTACTACAGACTTAGTTAAAAGGAAACTTTCCGTAATACCACTACTCATAACTCTATTTGGTGTTTAAACATGTTGATTTTTTTTTCCAGTTTGATTTTCACATATATTATAGAAATTCACAGAACAAAAGCACAGATTTTGAGACTTGAGGGAGGCCCTCCGTGATCACCTGTTCAAATGTTAAAGAGAAAGAAGGTTAACCAAAGGGACGTTCAAGGTCATAGCGTTAGTGGCAAAGCCAGGCCTCCCAACCGCACTCCAAAGTTCTTCCCTTTCCCTCGCACCCCCACAGGCTTTGAAACTTGCCTTTTTATGTAGTTTTAAAGTTTCCTGGTACAGAATATTATTTATATCATAAATACCAGTTTTGCAAAGATTTCTCAGGATTCATGAGGCCTAAAAACTTAACGTGGCTCCACTCATTGGTAGAGGTAATGTCAGAATAATCAGTGACATTTTCTTTCTGGATTATGCAAAATAAGCCCTATTTTCCTAACCCAGTTTACACTGGGTTCCTTCTCACGTCCTTTGATTCTGAGTACATGCCCTTGAGCATATTTTCATAAATGTTTACACTGTAATTCTCAGCAGCCTGAGGACCAGTTGTCGCCTAGAGCATCCTAGGGCTTTGCTGGCTCTCTGGACAGTCACATTGTGCAGGCTGCACATTTTCTGTTTTTCACAGTCCTGACTTGGATTCCACCATGCTTAATACATACCTCTATAATTAAATTTAGTACTTGCAGCTTCTTTACCTCTAAGACATTAATGCATGTATTACATGCCCAAGAACATGTGGATAGGAACTTACATCAGCTTTTCCTAAGGTATATAACGTTTCCAAGATCTTGTGATGAAGCAAATATTCCATACACGGCCCTGTCACTCCGAACTCTCGCTCCCGTTCTTCCTGTAGCAAAATACCTAACATCTGGTCCAGATGAGAGGGAATATTTGTATCTGTCACTGGGGCTTTATCATCTAAATAATAATAAAAAAAATTCATCAAACATTCAAACAATTTAAAACTGCCTATTTGTACCTAAAATGCCTTTGATATTTCTCTATTCCAATTCAAAATGTGAGAAAAATCTGAACTACACACTTAAGTGGTATATAATTGGTATGTAATTATCTTTGCCAGGATGTAGGTGATTCTTTTTGCCATGTTCTTATTCAAAAATGGAATCAATATTCTGAAATATATTCTATTAACTAATGTCTATGTATAATTCAAAATAAGAGCCATTTATACAGAAATGGGAACATGATCAAGAAAAATACACATAACATCAAAATTTTGTATACACTTACAATTAAAAACAATTTTTTTTCAAACAGCTAGTTCAGAAGTTCTGAACTTTTGGATCTGAATTTTAAGTCTCTTTATATAGAAACAGGTTGGCCTTAAACATCAAGCTGAATTAGGTAGGATACATAGAAAGGGCAGGTTCTGTTTTTGTTTGCTACTGAATCATGTCGTAACACTGGGAAGTCAGACACTTACAGCCCCTAATTCATCTCCATCTGTGAAAACATGAGGAGCCCAAAGAACAATTTCTGGCATCTCTCATGAACAGACAACTATTTCCCAAAGCCAAAACTTCTTCTCAGGAGAATTCTTATTAAGCACTATTGATTTTTTAAGATAAAAATCCATTGATAGATTTTGAGTTCACAACTGGGACTTAAAAATCACACGGTTTTATCAACTTACCCTTACTGTACGAGGGCTAAATTGCTCTTAATAGAATGTTTAAATACAAAATATACTTGGAAATGCCAAGTTCTTATTTATGTCTCTACTGTAATTTCCTTAGTACTCCATAGTATGTGCAACACAATCCTAGTATGCTATATATTTTGATGGTATGTTGCTTTGCCTGTATGTGTGCACATGTATGCACGTACACATGCACACGCAGTGTAAACCGGAACACCAAGCCCTACAGAGAAAACAATGGAGAGACAGAGGTCACCCTTGTTTCCAAGGATAACACATGTACCAAATTTGATATACAATGTGGCAGGTACTAAAAGCATGGGGCCTGGAGTAAGACAACTTGCATTCAAATCTTGGCTCTGTCGCTTGTAGCCGGACGACCTTGGCAAACTATTTAAGCCTCTGTCACCACCACCTGTAAAATGGGGGTAATCAACACTAGGAAGTGTCATATGATTTCAATGAAACCATGTGTGTAAAGCTCAATGCCTTTGCACACAGTAAGAATTCAAGAAATGTTAACTTTTGATGTTTCATTTTGTATTCTTCTAAAACGAGTGGCCAGCCACTAACAGAAGATAATTTGTAAATTTATTTGAAATTTGGGTCTTTTTTTTTTCTTATGTTTTTTCCTCTTTAATTGCAGACTTTATATAAACATTCCAGGGAAGAATGAATGTTCAAGTATGGTTTGATTACAGTTATCAATGGAGAAAAATGACCAGAAAGGCTTTGTAAATTGAGAGACAAATGAATTGTAAATGTGACTTGACAGGATTAAAATCCTAGCTCCCTAGAAAGCAAGACGTTGTTTTTGCCCTCTGCCCCCTTCACTCCTAAGCTGCACGTAGGCCCCTGTGCCTCCATATGCCACTCCTTCTACCTGAAATGCCTTTTTCCTCCTCCTCGAGCCTGCTCCTAATCATCCTTTAAGCCCCACGTTATGGACTCTGCCTTCTATTTCTCCCTTCTTTGTTCTCTCTGTGCCTGACACATATACACACATTCGTCCCATACTTTATTATAATGTACATACTTGTTTCTACTAAACTGCAAAAAAAAAAAAAAATCATTTAAAGCAAGAACTTAAAGCCTTTCCCTTAAAGTATTTCCTTAAAGCTATGGAGGAGTGAAAAATTCACAAGGGCTAAGGAATAGTCATTTGAAAAGGGAGGTCCTCTCAAAAATCTTTCCTACAGATCTGCTGTCTAAATACCCAACTTAAGGTAGAAGTTATATTTTACGTGGAAAGGTATACATATATTTTGTATCTAATTTTTACTTATCATACAACTATAAAGGGTTTTTTGTTTCAAGGAATTATCACCTACGGCCCCATCAGCTTCCCCAATCAGACTGCCTGAATACTCTATTTCAGGAGGTGCCAGACTTTGGCCTAGGGGGCAAATCCAGCCTTACTACATGTTTCTGTTGTATTGGAACAAAGAAACACTATTCTTTTACATACTGTTGATGGCGGCTTTTGCACAACAGAACTGAGCAGTTCCAAGAGAGGCCACAGGACCCACAAAGCCTAAAATATTTACTATCTGGCCCTTTACAGAAAGTTTGTCAACCTTTGACCTATGTATTTCACATTCCCCTTACTCTCCATACTTCTTATTCACTGAGAAAGACAGAAGCAACCAGAAAAGAACTCTTGAAGACTTTGTAGACCACATCCACCCTCCTTCTTCATCTATACTTATATGCTGTTTTCCACACCTTATTTTGACGGATGGACTGTCCACGTGCCTATTAAGGCTCAGCCCTCACCTGTGCACTAGACCCTACTCCCCTTGCCCATTTAAGGGTATTGCTCAGAAATGACTGCATCTGACTCTTGTCCACCATTCCCTCTCTACTAGATCATTCCATCAAAGTACAAACTAAAATATCTTCCATCTTGAAAAAAAAAAAAAAGTGAAACCCTCTCTTGAGGGGCACCCGACTGGCCCAGGCATAAGAGCATATGACTCTTGATCTCGGGGTTGTGAATTCAAGCCCCACAGTGGATACAGAGATTAAATAGATAAATAGATACTTAAAATTAAACCCTCTCTTGAAACCACATCTCCCCTTGGCTAATGCTCCATTTCTCAGCTCCCCTTCCCACTAACGTGTATGGACGTGTCCCATTGTCTATATAGGTTTTCTGACCCCTCTTCTCTTAAAGCATAATCCAATCAGGTCTCCTCTCTCTTCGTTGCCATTAAAACGGCTCTTATCAAGTCCACTAATGAGCTCCTTGCGGCTAAGTCCAAAGATCCTTTCTTAGTCTTCATTAAACTGACATCAGCGTCATTTGACACAATTAATCCCTGTCTCCTCTCTAGCCTCTAGGACATCATTCTCTCTTGGCTGTCTTCTACCCCACTAGCAAAAGTGATTTCCTTTGCTATTGTTTTCACCATCCCAATGTCTGAGCATTGGGCCCGAGGGCTCCATTTCTGAACATCTTCTCTCCTCCATCTACCCTTACTCCCTACATCTCATCCAGTCTCATGGCTTTAAATCCTACTTACATGTGATGACTTCAATGTCATATCTCTGGTTTAGAACTCCACCTTAAATTCCAGATTCCTATTTCCAACTGTCTACTCAACATATCCAACTGGACATATAGTTGGCATCTCAAATTTAGCATGTCCAGAACACTTATAAACCTGCTCCTCCTGCAGTCGCCCTGTCCTGGTAAGTGGCCTATTTTCCATCTGCCTAAGCCCAAAACTTTGAAGTTTCCTTGACTCAGTCTCTCATACCCAACATCCAATCTGTCAACAAAGCTTTCTGCAAAATGCACCTAGAATACAATCTTATCCTACCAGCTCCCTGGTTTAAGCCACCATCGTTGCTCGGACCACTGCAATGGTCCCCTAACGGTCCATAGCTTCGCCTCTGTGTCTTTCCAATCTAATTTTTTCTCACAGAAGCTGAAATTGATTATGTTACATGCCGCCCAAAGCCCTCTGATGGCTTCCCACCTTGGAGTAAGAGCGAAAGCCCTTATAATAGCTTCCAAGGCCCTTTGTGACTGCATCTGGCTCCCATCTGACATCACCTCCTCACACTTTTCTCCTTGTTCACGTTGCTCTAGCCAAACCGGCTTCCTTGCAGTTCCTGGAGTATGCCAAGCATGTTGTATGCTCCAGCTGCAGGGTTTCTGCACTAGGTCCTCTTCCTGAAACCAACCCCCCAGGCTTGCTTCCTCTTTCCTTCAGATTCCAACTGAGACGTCTGTTCGGGCAATGAGGCTTTCTCTAACCTACAAAAGCCAACTGCCCCTCTTCCCCCATGTATAGACTTCTATCCCCTTAGCCTGCCTCATTTCCCCCTCAGCCCCTGCCATCTGACACACTATGTGTATTTGTCTATTTTGGGCTCGCTTCTCCGTCATCAGTATATAAGCTCTATTAGGACAGGGATTTTGCCTGTTTGATTTACTGTTCTATTGCTCAGTGCCTAGAACAATGCCTACACATAGTAGGTGCTCAATAGATACATTTTTAAAGTGAATCTAAAAGAGGAATTAAAAGTAAAATAACTTGTTTATAAATTTAAATATAAAATAACTTTGAAAACTAATTTGAAATATATTTTAGTATTTCATAAATTTTGTTTAATTAACATTAGCTTTGTTTCTTACCCGAAGTCTCTATGTAGTAATGGGTAATTGCCTTCCAGTGATAAACAAAATCTTCTTGTAAAGGAAGAGAAGGTGCAAGCTACACAAACACACACACACACAAAAAGACCACAACAATTAAGAAAATGGCATTAAACGTTTCCCATAAAGTATAACTCTGTATTTGTCCACTAATAATACAAAAGCAGCATAAAAATAATGGATGAGCTTTAATTTGACTTTATATGTCAGAATATCAAAGAAAAAAAGGAGTCAAAATCAAGAAAGTAAAAATGATTTATTAAGAAAGAGGAAAAACATATTTATCAATATTATTATTAAACTACAAGGGCTGGGACTTTTTTTTCCTCCCCGAAACTGGTTAACTACATATGGTTTCAAAAGTAATGGTGTTAAGTGAAAAGATGCAAAATCCTATTTAAATTATCAGTAAAATGAAATTATCAGTAACCAGGGATCTTTGTACCTAGGACTTTGAAATGCAAAACAGTAAAAGGCTGCTATGCAGTTACACGTCACCATTACAAAAACATATACCAAAGTCAACCATGTAATCTGATTAAAACTGTTCCCTACTTTCAGTGACATAACAGATGTAAACCTTTTCTTTTTAAGCCTGGATTAGGCAGTGCATATTTTTAGCAAAATACCTGTGTGAACAAGACACTACCAATTTAAATTCCACAAAGCCAAAAATGTTTCACTTCAAAGTAAGTTCAAAATTTACTTCAAAAATTTTAAGACCAAAATTATATGCCTTCAGCCATCTCATAGCCAACCTGCCAAGTACTTCAAATGTGTGTTAAACAGATAAAAGACCTAGATGCACCTTCCACAACACTGTCTTTTCCTTAAACAGAGAGAGAGAGAGAGAGAGAGAGAGAGAGAGAGAGAATGCTCTCCCAGTCCTACTATTGCCCATAAATACTGGTCAGAAAGTTCACAGTGGATCCAGCTTACTTAAAAACAACCAGGTTTCTATTCTGGCAACCGAAAGCCTGGCACAGTCATCTTTCATTCCCAGATACTTCATCTAAACTGATGACCTCAGGGATCACGTTACTCCTGTCTTCTACGTGTTCCATTTTGATTTTTTGTGTCCTCAAGCAGAGACCTCAAAGTCTGGAATCCTAATAAAACAATCTCAAAACTACTGGACAAATTATAAACACTGGTCATAGACACATTACGACCTTCAATCCTGATGAAATGTCCTTAGGGAAGAAGTGGACCTCAACATTTCGTGGCAATCGCCAATGTTTTAAGGCTCGCTCTCGTGCTTGCCTGTGTGCACTGCTCTGTATCACACTGGATTAAGAGATCTAAGTATTCACCTCATTTCCAAATAGAGTGCTAGGAAATTTTTAAAAAGGCTTTAAGATCTTTAAAAGTAGTTAAAGCCTTTGGGATTACTATCCTTCAAGAAGAACATGGCAGAGAAATTATTTGGGAGACATTGAGAAAAAAAATTAAAAAGAATATTAGAAAGTATTACCTTGGGAAGATAGATTAATCTTCCCAAAACTTTCAGATTAAAAAAATGTTTTAATCAGCTACTTGTTTTTAGGATCGTCTTCAAAATATGTCAAAATTCTCTTTTTTTGGACCTGGTTTTTTATACACCATCTTTCTATAGTTAAATGTATTAACAATTGGGATAAAGTCAAATGAAATTTGGCGTTTCAAAAAAAACTACCTAATTTCTTAAGTGTAAATATTGCAATTTGTTAAATTTTTCTGAGGGCATCTCCTTGGTCTATAAGGAATTACAGCATCCTTGCTCCAGATTATTTTACCTGTGGGACTTAACTCCATTTCCAAGTTAAGTCACTAGATCAGAGGTCCTACAGGATTTGTGTTAGGACCTTTGCTCTTCTAGTCCAACTCAAAGCAGGATGGTGTTGCTTACCTGTGAATACCTCTCTTCCAGGAGTTTGATTTAAGTAAGAAATCTATTTAAGTAGACAGGGAGACAGTTCCGAATTGCTAACAACTTAGTAACAATCTTTGTTCAAACATGAGTAAGTTTCCTTATTTATATAAAACTTCCTACTAAAATTGTCTTTCATTACTAACTCTAACATGCAAATTACCTGTTTTATCATTGCATAAAAGAAACACTCATGCGATGGGTAAAAATAAAAAAAGGAAGAGGTGAGTGAATCAGCATGAGGGGATTCTCACTTGAGTTCACTTTTTGCAAAACAGAGATTAAATTTTTGAAAATTCATGCAATCACACTCTCAACCAAAACTGGACCTGAGTGCCTACGTTGGGCATGGCTTTCTCTGAGAAGCCTTGCCAGACTTCCTGCCGAGGATCCAGTCCTTTCCACAAACTGTGGCACCCTCTCCCAGCCTGCTCGCTCTCTTAGCCCTTATCCCACATTTGTCATTGCTGATCTCCTCCACTCAATCGCAAACTCAGCAAGGGGCTGGGACCATGTCGTCTCTTTCATCACTGACTTCCCGGTTGGTTTTCAACTCGGTGATGGCACAGAGTAAGCATTCGGTGACAGTCACTGAGTGATTAATCCAATGGCACAGCAGTTGCTGTCATTTAATGAGTACTTATGTGCCAGGCACAGTGCTGCAAAGTTTACAATTCCTATATGGTCTTAAATGATCTTAAAATAAACTCCGATTTTCCCCAAACTCCTATTAAGAGTGAAAGCCAGTTAATTGCCTCACCCAAGGGGAAAAACTGCTTGTAACTAAAAACCCAGACCGTCTTTCTCCAGAAGGCCTACCACACAGAAGGACCTAGAGCAGTAACTCAGAGGAGAGCCAGACATCTGCCACATAAGCCCCATCTGCTCACTCTCTCACGTGTCTCATGAACAGTCCACACCCTGATCTTCGAATGTGCTTCTTCCTTCCAACATCCCTAAGGCCCCCCTATCTCCCCACCCTCTTCCAAGTCCAGCTCAAGCCTCCCTTCCTCCAGGGGGCCTTCTCCCCCAAGCCCTTCAATCCTAACTGCTTGCCCCCACAGAACTCACTGGATGAACAATCATCCAAAAATTAATAACAATGGTTCACATTAATGAAGCACTGACTATGTACCAGGCACTGCACTAGGCACTTCATATGTATTATCTCATTTTAATTTTCACAATAATCCTAAGAGATTGGTATAATTATTTCCATTTTACAATGAGGAAACTGAAATGTACAAAGATTAAGTAACTTTTCCTGTGTAGAAGGGAGGGATGGCTGCAGGACTGAAACCTTATTCTGGATGGCTCTGGGGCTAGGGCTCACTCTTGTGCACTGTTTAATTTTTAGCTTGTGTATTTGTTTTGTCTCCCAAATTAGACTGTAAGCATTGTGAGCAAGGACGCAGGTATACCGTTTCCTCCGTGCTGTGCCACACTTTCGTGGCAGGCTCATAAAACATTAGCTGAATGACTAAAGGATGAAAAGTTTGAGATCCCATCAGAAAAGAATACACTTAAGAAGACACTACGTATGTTTGACTTGAGGTTTTAATGCCCAGGGCAGAAGAGCTTTTAAAATATTGCCGGTCCCAACAATCATCAACTCTTAACTGTAATTTGAAAAGAAAAGATTCAAATTCTGAACGAGGACATCCACTGAATTAACCCGTTAAAGTAGATAAAACTTTCTTCCCTTATCCTCTTGGAATAAATCTGCCCTCCAAGGGTGAAACTGGCTGAAATTTAGAAAGAACCAGCTCCTGGCAGATTACCTAGGACAGACTAGGCCCTCAACAAATATTTAATTGTACTAAATGGAAAGTGTTTTACTTGTACTTTGGAGAAACTGTGCTAACATGATCTAGTCCAACCTAGGAACTAACTACAACATTTCACTCTTATGACATGTGGCAACAGGCTAACAAAATGGATTCACTGCAAACTTACTGGCCAATCATTTTTTATTCTGAGGGAAGATTCACTTCTGAAAAGGGAAGCAAGAGTTACATTACAGTTTTTGTTTTTGATCAAGATATGAATTTCTCTTCTAAACTCAAAATGTAATCGGTCAGCTCAATAACACATTTTCAAGTACTAATCTTGAAAATCTTATAGATTTTTTCCTTGTACTAGTTAACAGGAAGTAAGAAGAAACTATTAATTAAACAATAAGGAAAACTCTACATGTAAACCTCATTTAAATGAATATGTTTATCTGGTCAACCCTAAAAAAAACTTTTGAAGATTTGAAGGCTGAACCACAATTGTACAAAGAAACCTATAAAGTAATAATATCAAAGTGGCTGAAAACAGTGACACTTCAGGTCATGTCAGCACCTGCACATAGGATAAAGTCCCACCTCTGAAAAATCCAGATAATTATGTTAATTGCAATACTGTATCAGAAAATGCTAATTGGGCATACAAATTAAAAGGAGTAGAGAGAAAAGCTAATGAAATGAACTGATGAATGATAAAAGCAGTTTACAGAAGAAAATGCAAGGCAAACAGAACTGAAAAAATGGAAACCAGTCTTGGGCTAGGCAAAAACATTCTTCAAATACCACAAGAATGGCTTATTTATCATTATATATGAGTTCATTCCCAAGAGAGAATGGAAAAAGGAAAAAGTTTGCCAATTTTTTTCTGATTTAACCTATCAAGGTAAACTGCAAAGCATCACAGCTGAAAACATTAACTCTAATCAAATAAAAACATTAGTTTTCTAAATGCTATGGATCAGTTACTAGGACCAAGTGAACATAATCCACTCTTAATTTTTTCTCACCTCAGCAAAGAAGCTGGATATGACAGAGCCAGAGTCAGACAATTTACATGGGTAATTTGGTAGATGCTAGCATATACAGTTATAAAAAGACAATGAGGACAGAAAACACAAGCCTCAGGATAAAAATGAGTCTTTACTGGCAGAGTAGGAAAGCTATCTTTCTTTTTCTAAGTACTTACTTCAGTAAGTATCAACCTGATAGGTAAAGGATGTAAATAATGTAACATATTTTTTATTCCCAATTATCTCAGTATTAACCTGTACTCAATGTTAAAATTAAGTGATTTTAAGTTAAAGAATAATATAAAATGTAAATGCCGCTGTTTTTATACATTTCGGTTAAATTCTTTTAACAAAGTTGCTGTAGATTGTGTATAACAAGGGAAAATTAAAAATTGTCCTAAAGTCTAAAACTGTCACCTCCATGTGTAGTACTGCTCTTCATTCATGAAAACCCTCTCTTTGATTTGATACACGTTTTCCCAAGAACTTGTGGTAGAGCTTAAATGATTTTTAAGCATTTCCCACATATCACTTAAAATAACAACTGTACTGAAGTTTTGTTTTCAAACTTAATTTTAAAAATCCATTTTATTTTTATCTGACCATAAAAATGGTTCTATTGCAGCTGGCTTTTTTTTTTTTTTTTAAGTTGTGTGGATTTCAAGGTGCTATATCACACAGTCTAAACATAGAAAGAAAATGACATTTTTTAAATTAGCAAGGTACTGGCGTCTTGCACAAGATGCATTTTCCAATTTGGGCAACTGTCCCTGAGTAAAGAGAAACAACCAAAGTAAAGCAAACTAGATCTCTTATTATGAAAACAGAGCAAGGCATTTTCTTTTACTTCTCTTCTGTTAGTCTGTTCGGGCATTTGAACGTCTCTCGGTGCTGGTCTCTAAAATCCTCAAAGGAGAGAGTCCAGGAAGAGAAGACAAGAAAGGAAACAGATGGTCTCGCTGCTCTGCCGAGGGCTTGGAAGAGTGTAGACCACACTCGACCAGACCCCTCCAAACTCCCATTTCACAACAATCAATACAGTGCAGCTGAGTTCGGGCCGTGAGGCCTGCGAAGGCAAAGCCAGCAGGATTACGAAACCGGGTCTAGCGGGCTGCCTCCTCCCAGAGTCGCCCCCACCCCCAACCGGGGCACACCTTCCCGCCCACCCCACCTTCCAAAGTCAGCACAACACCAAGCCAAACCCAAGCCCCAGCCACGTCTGGCCGTTTCTTTTGTCCTGCTCCACGCTGACCACCTTTTATCCGGAGCAGCTTAGCGGTCCGGGAGTCCGGGGGTGCGCCCTGCGGCCCCGCCAGGTACTCCCGACCCCCCGTCCCCATCCAGGAGTCAGGCGAACGCCGCGCCGGCCCGGGGCTCCTGTCCCGCCGGGGCACCCCCGCCCACCCTCCCGCGGACGCACAGAGACCCGCGCCGGCCCGGGGCAGGACGGCGAGGAGGGGGCCTGCTCCGAGCCAGGCCCGAGGCCCCGGCGCCCCGACGGCCCCGCCGCGCCCCGAAGCGCCCCCCAGGCCTCGCCCCCCCGCGGGAACCGGGCCACGGAGGCCCGGGCCGAAGCCGCAGGAAGCGTAGGCCGCCGCCATCCCCGGTCTGTCGTGAGCCCGCTGCCCGCGGCCTTACCGCCTCCACGGCGTGCTGCAGGATGGAGGTGAACTTGGAGAACATCTTGTCACGGGACTGCAGCAGCCTCTCCCGGGACGACCTGGAGAGCTCCTCGATCCGCCGCCGCCGCCCCTGCTGCGGCTGCCGGGGCGGCTCCAGAGTGAAGGCCGGTGCGGGGCGGGGAGGACGAGCAGAGGGCCGAGGCGGGCTCGGGCCCGGCCGCTTCGGGGGTGCGCGGGCGGCGCGGCGGCTCCGGCGGGCGCTGGGACGCAGCGGGCGGCGAGGAGGGCGTTCGGCTCGGACTCGGGGCCCCGCGACGCTCCGGCAGCGGGCTGCGGCTCCGGCTCGGACACGGTGGCAGCGCGGCTCGGGTTCCTTCCGCCCGCTCTGCCCGCCGCGGCCTGCAGGGGGCGCCGCCGCGGCCCGGGGAGGCCCCGACCGGGCCTGCCCAGCGGCGGGGCAGCTGGACGCCGCGGGGGCGGGAGAAGCGGCGCGGAGAGGCGGCAGCGGGCGGGGGGCGGGAACCCGACGGGTGCGGCCGCCGCCCTCTCCCTGCTCCCGCGCGCCTGGCGCACTGTAGTCCTCACGTTTGAAAAATTCATCCAGCCTCTCAGTTTTGTTTCTGCGGGGGCAGTTAACAGGCCGATTTTGTAGGGAAACGTAGCCATATCTGTACATAATATTCCGAGATTCGTCTTTTAAGGGCAGATTTGGGAGACTCGTAAGAAACAGTACAGTATTCCTAAGGCAAAATTGGTCCGTGCATATAAATGCTAAGAATTAGAACAAATCAATTAATGTTGGTGAGATGGTTTTGCTAACTGGAAAATATATTATTAATTGTTAATTATTCACCATTAAAACAGGAAGCCCCAAATGGACAAATGGTAAGATGGTTCAGTCAATAGTTTGTAACTTGTTTGATAGGTGCACGGCATTCAGTATTGCATTTTCTATTCTGTTTATCAGATGATACTGGAAAACAGTGAGGGAAAGAATCTGGAGGGATTCTGCTAAATGCATAGGACAGATGAGTGGGGCTACATTGTAAGCCCATGGGTGGAGGCTCCTTAAAAACACTATGCAGGGCCCCTGGGTGGCTCAGATGGTTGAGCGTCTGCCTTCGGCTCAGGTCATGATCCCAGGCTCCTGGGATCGAGTCCCGCAACGGGCTCCCTGCTCCTTGGGACACTGCTTCTCCCTCTGCTTCTCTCTCTGTCTCTCATGAATGAATAAATAAATAAAATCTTAAAAAAAACAAACAAACACTATGCAACAGTATATTCACCAAGCTTTGAAGAAGCACAGTGCGGTAGTAAATTTTAGGTTGGGTTGATACAAGTTATGAAAAATGTTCATATCCTGGAGAACTTTGTGTTTGTTTTTGCTAGTATTGGTATTTTATCAAAAGGACTGTTAAGTTCTTGATAAGGTGAGCATGGAGTAAGTTTTGCATAACTGGTGATGAAAATACGGATTTGTGATTGAGTTTGTTGAACAGAAAAAAAGCAGAAAAGTAGCAGCGATGTGGAGTGGTGTTAAGAGCTAGGCTCTGGAGGTGGGTAGTCTTGAATTTAAATCCCTCTGCCACTCACCGTGGCAAGTTTTTTAATCTCTTTGTGCTTTAGTTTTTTTCATCTGTGAAATTGGGGATAATAGCACCTACCAGTGAGAGATTGTGTGGAAATGTATTAACATATGTAAAATACTTTAACCATGTCCAGTCCATAGTAAGCAGTACATTGGCATTTGTTATTACCATTATTAGTAGTAGTGATAGTAGTATTTAACAAAATGATAGAGCCAGAAATCAAGGTTTAAGGAGGACGCTTTTTTTTAAAGATTGTATTTATTTATTTATTAGAGAGAGAGCAGGAGCAGGGGTAAAAGGAGAGGGAGAAGCAGACTCCCTGCTGAGCAGAGAGCCCTGTGCAGGGCTCCATCCCAGGACCCTGGGTTCAGGACCTGATGCTCAACCGACTGAGCCACCCAGGAGCCCCAAGGAGGACACTTTAACTATAGATCTCCCCTGACCTTCAGTGGGGGTATGTCCCCATAACTCCACCATAAGTTGAAAATATCTTAAGTCAAAATGCATTTAATACACTTAACCTACAGAACATCATAGCTTAGTCTACCTGTCTACCTAAATGTGCTCAGGACAAATACTTACATTAACGTACAGATGGTCAGAATCATCTAACACAAAGCCTGTTATATAGTGGTGCTGAATACCTCATGTACTTTATTGAAAACTACTGAAAGTGACAATGAGTTTAAGTGCATCAGTTGTTTACCCTAGCGGCCCATGGGGAGCCGTGGAAGGTGCTGGCGCCCAGCATCGCGAGAGCACCCTTCGGCATATCACTAGCCTGGGAACAGATCCAGTTCCAAGTACGGTGTCTACTCAATGCCTGTCGCTCTCACACCAGCATAAAGTCAAAAAAATCGTTAAGTCAGACCGTTATAAACTGGGAACTGTGTGTAATTTTGTCTTCTTTTCTCCTCTGTTTCTGTTGCTTATATCCTTGCAATGCAGGTAAATAAATGTGACTTTTAATTTTCTGTGTACTAGTCTCCAGAATGCCGGAGGCACCCTCTGTTGTTTGCTTAAAAATTGAAATGTGCTCCCTACCAAATTCTGATTAATTGTGTCTGCTTCAACCAAGAGGACATATTTTTTATCATGCACACAGCTTGAGGTGGTTAGTCATATTATTAACCATAATTATTTTCCTGACCTAATAAATACATTTATGTGGTATTTTGTATTTTCATAATGCCTTACAACCACTAATTGTATAAGAGGGTCTGTTTAACACAGGCTTATTGAGAGTTGTTTGCATTTGATGATGCCCATCTTTGTATACTTATTATGAACATCATAAAAAATGTTTTGTTTGAGATTAATATCAATATTTAGGAAGATGATTCATCTCCCTGATATCTAGGTTCCAAGACATACAAGTTGGGCTAGAATTATAATTGAGCAGATACTCTTCTCATCCTAGAAAGTTTGTAGTGGCACATGGGCAGGGTTGGACCTCCCACAACAAAGTATGATTTGAGAAAGCATAATACAGGCTTCCCTGGCCTCCAAGCCACTTAGATACGAGAAGCTGAAATTCCTCAATTAGCACTTTATTTCTTTATTCCTTTGACTTAAGTGAAATAAGAAATTTAGTCCCCACTAAGAATTAAAATACCCTTGGGAGAGAGAATACATCAAATTCTGTCATTCATTACACTTCAGAGTGAATGAGTTTGCTAAATCCTTTACTGAATGAAGTTTAATCAGCAAGGTCACAGAAAAATCCATAAAACCGAAACTCAGTTTGGATGAGGACCGAGAGTTAGATGAAACCTACTTCCAAAGTTTGGCAGACTTCTGGTTAAATAGGTAAGATTGAATTTAGCAACATTTCCTCCCTAAATGCTACTACAGTTACAGTAAAGGGATTTCTCAGAGTATAAGCCCAAAAGGACAAACAAATTAAGAAAGGAAATGGCAACAAAATTTTGAGAATTGGAAAGTAGCGGTAAAGAGAATAACTGATATGGTGCCTTAGGAAAGCTGAATCCTAAGGCAACAATTAAGAAAACTAAGATCCAAAGTGATATATTAATACATTTACAGAACCTTCTCAATGACTTTGAAGTCAGTAGCAATAAGTACCTCTGGAGGGGCGCCTGGGTGGCTCAGATGGTTAAGCGTCTGCCTTCGGCTCAGGTTATGATCCCAGGGTCCTCGGATCGAGTCCCGCATCAGGCTTCTGGCTCAGCAGGGAGCCTGCCTCTCTCTCTCCCTGCTCATGCACGCTCGCTCTCTCTCTCGCTCTCTCTCTCTCTCTCTCTCTCTCTGTATTTTTGTGTCTCAAATGAATAAATAAAATCTTTAAAAAAAAAATAAGTACCTCTGGAAATAGAGGTAGAAGTGGGACTGAAAAATAGCAGGATGGAGTGAAAGCTTGTTTAGAAGTAGATAGATCATCCCCATGGTACAAGACTGGCTGACTTCCCCTTCTCCACCCTGGTTTCAGATTAGAGACTAATTCCAGGAAAGATCAGAGGCTTCATATTGTCAGGAGAGAAGAAGAGGATAGAGTTGATGTGGGAATCAAAGGCAAAAGAAAAAAATTAAATTTCCTTACTGCCTACAGCGCATTGGCAAGTCCTTGAAACCAGTAGAGTGACCTTTCTCTGGGAGCTCAACTGCCTCGATGTTGACACTTTGCTAAGGGGCAAAAGGCAACCTTAGCCTGACCTGGAGGATCCTGTAAATCTTCTTTTAAATACAAAAGTTCCTTTGGAGACTTCCTTTATCTCTACCCCCAAGTTACAGCCATCATCCTCCAAGCATGTGGCCCACTGATACACATCTGAAGGGTCTCATGACTGAGGGTTTTACTAAACAGTAATAAATGACCTTTTCCCAACAATAGCTAGACCTCCAGGATCCTGTGAGTCTCCTTTAGTATATGAAAGTCCTTTTGGAAACCTCCCTTTGTGTTTACTTCCCCCACCTCACAACCCCAGTGTAGCTCTTTTCTGCCCACAGGCCCTGTCCCTGTGCTTTAATAAAACCACCTTTTTGCACTGAAGACATCTCAAGAATTCTTTCTTGGCCATTGGCTCTGAATCCCAACCTTCAAATCACATCGAAGTGAAGGTAGATACTGTGTATATTGAACACATCCCCAACCCTCATCCTCTTCTTGGCCCCCAGAATGAAAGCATCAGGCTGACCACCACCCTCTCTCCACCGCCCCCCCCCCGAAAATAGGTATCCTCTCTGGAGAATCTGATTAGTCTAAGAGAAAAGACCTAAACATACTGAAGAGGGAAACCAGACAACCCTACAGTGCAGCCTGTAGTTGACAAGCTTGTACACATGCTTGGAGCATCCACTGAGTTTTTTCATGCACCTCTCTTAAATGGGATCAGAGAGTCTGGGTCATCAACAATTTGAAAAAAGTTAATGATAGAGACCAAAAGAAAAGTCAGGACAAAAAAGAAATTTGAAAGGAACAATTAATTGCACTCGATAGGAAGAGGTGGAGAAGAAAAAAAATCATTAATATTCTCAGATAAAAGATATAGCATCTTTTAAAACAAGAATGGTATGCTATTTTAAAAAGCATTTAGGGTACAAAAAGGAAATCTTAGAAATCAAGAATATGATAACAGAAATGAAAAACAACATAAAAGGATAGAAAATAAATTTGAAATATTTTCTCTGAGACTAGGACAAAAATGATATAGGGATGAAAAATGGGAAAATTTTACAAAAATTAGAGTGCTGATCCAGGATCCAACATCTGAATAATTAGAGTGAACAGAGGGAGGAAATCATTGAACTAAAAATTCAA